GTGTGTGTGTGTGTGTGTGTGTATTATACATATATATATATATATATATATATATATATTATCTTATTTTGTTCACGAATAGTTTAGAGCATCAAACTAGTGTAATAGCTTACAAGATTATGAAGACTGATCATCTCATAATCTTTTATACACTCATAATCAGTAGTTCTGTCTACCATCAGTCCCCTCTGGGTGCTGACACAGAATACTTATTTGTCCGCCAGTTCCCGGTCTCCTCTGCAGCCCGTCACTGGCTATCTACTCTTTTATACTACTTTTAGTCTTTTACCGCTAACGCCATCACTCAGTTTGTTTTCAGGTTCTCTTGGTATATATGCACCAACAACTGACATGCATAAAACCCGCATCACATGACACACAATTCTTACATTGCATTCCAAAGTGAACCCCTCATGCATTAGAGGTTGCTCACACCCACGTCCCTACATGACTCATCTTTACAATTGGACCTCACACATGTTGTTGGGTGGTCTTATTCTCCAGTGTGCCTACGTGCAATAATGAAATATGTCCATAGGGGTATGGTGTCGTAGTCTTCCCCTGAACCCCAGCAAGGTGAAGTTCCAGCCTACACGTCTAAACTACGCCGCACAACTAAACTACGCCGCCAAGCTATCGTCGCGGAATCTCCGTCCCATCCAACGTCAACGGAAGCATACCCCAGGCCTGCACCGTCTTGTTGCGATATGTTGCTTCCCGCGAAGATCGCAAGCAGTTGACTATGTGCGTACGATACAAGTCACAAGGCTGCTGCAGTGGGAACTTCTTGGAAGAATCGTCTCATGATCCTCATGCAAGTATATCCGTTTGAACGGAGGCGACTCAAATGTCATGCCAGGAGCAACGTTATCTGTATCACAAGACCTTCCCATCTGCCCCAAGCAGAACTCTTCGTATGAGCCCAAATCCCAGCAGACTTCGTACGCCGTAACCGATGACCAATCTCAAGACGATAAACAGTCAGAACTCATGATTTCCATGCGGCCTATGTCTATCCGCCTGCTGTATCTCCGGAGGCGGTATAACAATCCCTGAAACATATGCCTTACGCTCACCCAACATGCAAGGTCGAATGTCCCCTAGCGCATCTGATCCTTGTGTCGTAAAAACGGAATCATTTCTTCAATCTGAGCTAGCCCAGCATAGCGTGTAACCAGAGTATGCAGCTTCCCATACACCCTGTACCGAACCCAATCACCTACAACAAACGCCGGCACGTCTATACAGTACAAGTTAGTTGCCTTACGCTAAGGCTCCGGCGCCCGTCTGTCACGAATGACTGACACTGCATTGTCCTGGCCCCATGGGCGGACCACCTCATTAAGGAACTTAATGGCCTTACGAGCACTCTTCGACCGCGACGGCTTCACGAGCACCATAGAAGTAGCTCTGTCAATCACTAGCAGAAGATGTGTATAATCGGCAGACGTCTTAGGCAATTGCGCAAAAATGGTCAAACAATCCCCGAACACGTTTCGGTTGCTGAAGTAGGCCGAGCTCTTGCGTGCCATGTGAAGCGCGAAGCTGACATCGGTGGCAGGGACGCTTGACCACCCTGATTAATGAGTGTACAGCTTACCATTTAGAGTGTACAGCTTACCGACCAGCTTGTCGGTACCTGCGTGCATGTACACCTTGTGTGTAGCCGCAATAACATTATGGACTTCCGGCCAAGACAAAGCAAAGCCCCGAATTCTGTACGAAGAGGGACCCTCCATGGCGCGTTTGACCGCCACCTCAACTTCTCGTTTAGACTTGGGCAAGTCACGTTGCACAGCTGCTTGGACCTGCTCCTGCCGGGTACTAGCTCGTGCACGCCGGTCAGGCTTCCGGCGCTTGGGTTCTGTGGCCTGTGCAGCCTTACGCTCCAGCGAAGTCAACTCTACTGGAGTGGGTTGAGGAGCCATCGTACGTAGGCTAGTCCGGAGAACTGAGCGGGCGGCCCCGCCAGCCACACCCCCTGGGACAAATGCGTCAAACTGGCGCCAGAAATCATTTTTAAGTAGGAATTTAGCACCCTTGGCGGAAAGCCTGCACACCAACGTTGGGCCACCGCGAGGGGATGGCATCTCTTCATGCCCATACCGGAAAAAGACACCTTTCTCCGTGGGGAATAATAATGGGCTCCCGTGACAATAACGACAACATTGGCTTGAACCAAGAGGCATTAGGGAGATACGGGCATATCAGGGTTATGTCTGCCTCGTCTGCAATAACCTTGGCCAAGACGCAACCCACGGACAATTTACCCACAAGTTTAGAAACGTCCAGAGCTTGGAGAAGGCACAACCTTTTAAGGAAGGGGAAAAATAATTCGGCAAATGATTGTTGCCAGGAAGAGCGAAACCGTCATGAGTATGTGGACCCCAAGCCTTCTCAGCGACATTCAAATACTTCTTGTTGGTCATATACTCACTACTCTGAGTGGGGCCTTGCCGGGCCACAGGATAGCGCCACGTTACCCGACGCCTGGGACTGGCAGTCTGGGTCCCAACAGTGTCCATCCATGGATCAACTGTGGCCGTAAGACGACTGAGCATGTCTGCCGTACCATTATCCTTGCCTCGGACGTTTAAAAGGTAAACGTCCCGATCACGGCATACATCTTGCCATCGCGCCTGCCGCCGACCGTGGGAGTCATCAGCGAAAAACTCCCTGTGCCACAAGGTCAAAAGAGCCTGGTGATCCGTAAAGATTGTAATGGGGTAGTGAGAGTTACCAAACACCGCCCAATGCTTACAGGGGCCATACAACTGCGCCAGCCATTCTTTATCGGTGACATGGTAATTCAGCTGAGCCGGCGAGAACCTTGGAGAAAAGTGGGCCACCGGCCAAAGTTCCCCATTCCGGAGTACATAAATCGCCCCGCCGAAACCTATGTGTTCACAGGCGTCAGCGAACTGGTACAACCGCTCACCTGGTTCCGGCGTAGCGAGCACCGCACAAGTCTTCAGGCGCTCATTGATTAAATCAAAAGCGGCCTGCTGGTCAGCGCCCCACTTGAAACGAACGCCATCCTATAGAAGGGCTGATATATATTTCAGGACTTTGAAGAAACCGTCAATATAACGTTGCCAAATGCCACCGTATGGTACCAAGACCGCGCACGATCCTGATTATCTGGCCGGTCCACTTCTAGCAATGCTTCTAGACGATCAGCCGAAATAGTGACGCTCTGATGATTGCACCAGCGCCCTAAAATCTTCACTGGTCGCTTGTTATATCCAATGCGCGCCTTGGATAGACCATCGTTCAAAAATGCGACAAGGTGATCCAAGTGCTCCGACGCATCCACTGATGAGATTACTATATCATCGATATACCACTTGATACCCTGTAGCCCATCAAACAGACGATCCAAAGTCTCCTGAAAACGCCACGACGCTTCTGTAATGCCAAACGGTGAACCTAGGTACTTATACCGACCCTACGGAGTCCAGAATGTCAGAATATCCTGACTCTATTTCTCAAGCGGAAGCTGGTTGAAGCCGTTCCCACGGTCAACCAACGAAACCCACGGCTTGCCCGCCACGTGCCCAAACATCTCACCCTCAATGGGGATGTTAAAAGGCTCCTGTTTCAACTTCGCTTTCCATTTAGCAACGTTGGTGCAGTACCGCCAGTCATCCTTGGTTTGTGGAGTAACTCTGGGATTCTTGGGGACCATCAAGGACTTCGCAGACCAGAGGACTTCCTCGTCCTCCTGTTTCGCAATGATGCTCTGCTTGACGAGATCATCAATCTTGCCTTTCATCGCTACCATCTCCGGGTGGTCGAGAGACAAATTCTCCTGAATTTGGACCGGAGCCGGGGGTTCACCCGCAATCGAGTAAAGCTTGATAGGGTCAACACGCATGAATCTGTGCTTCTGCTTGTCATATGCCCGCCCTTCAATGAGAGCTTCAAGTCGAGTAAGCTCCGCGTCAGACCTATTGGCCTCCTTCGCCAATTACTGCATTCCCGAGCGGTCAAATTCAAGGCATTTTTTCGCTCGACGATCACAATCCTCGATTTCAGGCCTATTGAGGTCATCCAAAGCGCGGTTCGGGAGGTCAATTCTGTTGGCCAAGTCCGGCAACCGAGGAAGGAAAACACCTTCCACATCCTTGGCCTGTGGTAGTACCTTTGCAGGGATCGTCTCCAGCGGAGTATGCCTATCACGCTTCTCTCGCCGCTGCGCTGCTCTTGCTAGCAGCAGGGCACGAAGATCCTGGGCTTCAACGCCTGAGGCACCCCCTGTGGAGGCCACCCCGGGTGAGCTAGTCGGAGACGGGGTCATAGAGGACTTAGGTCCACTAGCCACCGCCTGCGGTGATCTCATGATACGCCGATCTTGAGTCTCCGTCTTTTCATCAGTTGCAGTAAGCCCACTAGCGGGTACCCTACTGCCAGAACCGGTCGGAGGTTTTGCCATGGTAAACTTAAGTCTTACATTCGTCACCTGCGTATTAATCGAAAATAAGTTATGTAAAACATGCGTATCACGAGCTGCCGTCTTCAACTTCTTGGTCGGATAGGGACGCTTGTTATGCGCTCTAGGCCGGCTCAAGGCTACTGAGATATGGTCCGAGACCTCATCCTCAGATGAATCGGACAATAAGCGCCAACAAAACTGTTCACTACTGTCATCGCTTGACGCTACCCGCAACCCCGCAACCGACCGCCTTAAAGACGCCGGTTTCGGCGGGCGATGTAGTCTCATCACCGGAGACATCGGAATCCGACATAATGTCAGGACAGTCATCGTCCTTAGAAGTCTCGGCGGACGCCGAACTTACCGCACTAGATTGCGAGTCAGAGTCCTCGGCTACAAACACCGCGGTCTCATCACGCTCGCTCACTCCACCAGCCACAGGCTCCAGAGGACGCCGCGACTTATGTCGCTTCTTCATTGCCTTCCTACCTTGCACCCGAGGTTTCGGTTGGCGGAAACCAAGTAACAACTTCACCTGTGGACTCAAAGGGACCTTCGTATCCTTGAGCCACGACCACTTAATCGCTGACTGAGGCACCAGAATCGGCTCGCCACATGAGCGCCCATTTCGAATGTCGCATTTGGTCATACCCAATGAGTATATCACAACCCATGGGAATATTATCCACAGCATAAAAAGGGCATCCCTCGGCCAACGCATACGCCCCTCCAAAAATAACCAAGTACGCTTCTAGGTCATCTCACGGCACAGAAAAATTGGGTGACAGAATCCCCATACTATCAATACCTTCTAATGGTGGTCCGGCATATTTGCTCCTGGCCGTCACACCGAGCTGATTAAGCATGCGATTCGTTACTAAGTTGAAAGTACAACCCGAATCCGCATACACCCACGTGTAAACAGCACCAACAATTGCCAGAATTACCGCACCATTTCACTTACAACGCGACTTCTTCTGTGAAGCTGCGCCCGCTGAACCTCCATACTTTGGACAATCCTCTGCCGTATGGTCCGTACCGTGAGTAACTGTACAATACATACCACCTTCCGACTCTGATGACTCGGAATACGCCTGTCTGCTACTACGACTTCCTCTACTCTTACCACGCCCCCGTTCACGACTATGGGGACGTGAGCTGTCTCTTGAACCCTTATGGTCCTTACTAGACCGCGAGTGCGCACGCCCCCGACGCGAATCATCCTCTCCTGACTCCGAATGCCAACCACGTTGCTTCTAGGTTTTAGGCGGTTCCAAAACAAAAAATGTTTCCGGTCGAAATTTCAAAAAATCGAGTAGGAGGAAGGAGTATTTTCTCTTTTCTCTTACATATGTCTGGGGGGTCTCATATATACTCAAGGAGGGTCATCAAAAGACCTAATTTTTTTCATCAAAGCCCGCCCATTTTAAGAAGTGGGTATTTCTGCATGCTATGTGGTTTAACGTTGTCTACGACTAAAAATACTTGTGCAAAATGGATCTCAGCAAAGAGTGCTGGCTGCTAGGTAGTATCTTTTTGAACGGTCGACCTCTAGGTTCTTCCATTGAAAATGTTCCACTTGATGAGAATCTAGAAAGTTTGTTCAATGTATTCAACACATCCTTAGATATTATTAGTGCAGACTTCGTCATTAATGGCTACAAAAAGTTTCCTCCAAACAACACAACCAAGGAAAACCAAGTCGCTTCACAAACAAGATGTAGGCCACATTTGACTGTCGACCAATTCATAAACGTTTTTGGCCTAAAATGCATTGAATTTGAATGCATCACACCATGGGTTTTAGGGGTTTTCTCCGTAATAGCATAACGCCCATCCTTATCCTTGCGATGATACCGTTCAGGGGTTCGCTCACGAGGCGACCTCGATCTAGACGTCGAACGCCGATTACCATGGCGGTCGCCATCCGAGTTCTTCTTGCGATCAAGCCGGGCCTTCTTGATTATGTAATTCAGCTGCGCTTGCAACTGCTGCTTCTGGGAAATAGACAGTTGTTGTTGACCACCTCCTCCTTTCTCATTACGGCCTCCTTGGTTGCCGCCACTACCCGCTTGCTGGCCACCGCCATTCTGCGGGTTCTTGGGTTGTTGGTTGCCTGTTCGGGCCTTAACCTTGGCACTGACGCCATCCTCAATCTTAACAAGTCGAACAAAGATGGGCCACAAAGCGCCCAAGACTGTTGTAACCAGCTGAGCAAGCGCGGTGGACATTGCTCAGCAAAGCCAGCCACAGACAGAACATGTTGTGTATTGCGAAAGATGAGCGAGATCAACAATTCCCCAGAAGCAATCTGCTCATTCACCTCGAGCACCACCTTTGCTAATAGCGCAGGCTCAGCAATTGCCTACGCGAACAAAAAATTACTGATATTATCGTTGACCATCGCCAACGCTGCGTACGCCTTATTGGATCCATTCCTGAGTACCATACAAACCCGAGACACCTTCTCATGCATTCCCGCTAGCAGCCGAAGCACTGCTAAGTCAATGGCTCGCGATGCCTGAGACGCCAAAGGGACCCCATCTAACGAGTGAGATGAGGAAGTTGGTGAACCGGCCGTCGTAGAACCTTTCGTCGAAGAACCGGATGTACTGGCTGCACCTTCTACACGCTCTGCATAGTAACGGCGGGCTTCCTCTGCCATTACTCGACGTGCCTCCTCGCGCGCGTGTTGCCGCAAGACCTCATCCTGCTGAGACTGCGCCCATTGCGCCTTCTCAGCATCCGTCTGTGGGACATTTCCACCACTTGTTGCTGATCCTGCCGTTCGGGAATCTGGCTGAGTCGCACTAGGGTTAGGACGCCCTACAGGTCTCGAAATGGTTGCGGGCTCTGGAACTGCTGAAACATCTGGCGCCCACCATCTGATGGCGTATGCAGTTCTACACCCCGTTGCTCAGCTAAAAATACAGCCGCGCGATCGTGAGCTGTTGCCACCTCCCCACTAGAATTGCGTGCCTCCAGATCACTACGCAAGAGAGAGGTAGCACTTGGCTTTCATAAGAAGATCTCGTTCTGCGCCAGCACCGTGTCTCTAAGAGATGCGACGAAATTTTTCCGCCGAAAATTCTTCTGTCACCGCGGCAGTCTATGCATCACACGACTCGTCAAGGAAAACCTTTAACAACGCCCTAGCAGCCATGTACGTAAGAAGTTCTTCTAAGGCGTGCACCGTAACCTGCGGATCTTTCCGCAACGCCGTGCAAAAGCCGCTACCGCTAAATGAGAGGCATTTTTCTTCAAATGGCGCCATTCACCGGCATGCAAAGTCGCCATCGCGATCAACCACACGTGGTTACCTTGCATGCCCGGTAACATACTCCGTTGAATCAGACTATAGAGTTCTGGACCGAAATATAAGCTGAACATCTGCTCTTTTGCTTCCCCTTGCTCGTCACCAAGATTGGTGAAGGCAGGCGATGCCATCGCACGGCTGATTGTTGCCATCCATGCGTAAAAATCGACACTTTTGTTGCCATGCAACAAGTGACGTTGAAAGCTTGGACATATATATATATACTAGTAATACGGATGATTCAATTAGTTAGGTACATGGTTAACTAAAGCGTCAAATAAATCGAGAGGCATACTTGTACTGTGGTTCTCGTTTATTTCGGGGTATTCGATATCAGCTCGTTCCTCTACGTCTCCAACATTCTCAGACCCATCTACGCAAAATAGTGAAATAGTTTATATCGATAAATGCAGACAGTGTATGTTTGTTTAAAAGCAAACTCGCATCGCTGTTATGCGGAGCGTATGGAAGCAGCGAGTACCTCGGGCTCTTCAGCAAAAGGATCGACAACGGCCAGTTCATCCACGTCCTCATCGAGATCGTTGGATGGGGTCCCTTTATCATCTAGGGCGTCGCGAGCCGTCGATTTAGCAGTTCTTCGTCTGCCGACAGGGATGCACGAGAAGGTATCTCGATTCTGTATGGTGCTCCGAAATGGATCAAACAAAGCTTATGCAGCACTTGCGATGGTCAACGACAATATAAGTAAGTTTTTGTTAGCGCAGGCTATTGCTGAGCCTGCGCTATTAGAGAAAGTTGTAATCGAAGTCAATGAACAGATTGTAACTGTGGAGTTACTGTTTTCGCTTATCTTTAAAATTACTCAGCATGTTCTCTCTGTGCTGGCTTTGCTGAGCAAGGCCCATCGCGCTTGCTCAATTGGCTCCAACAGTCTTGGGCACTCTATAGTACATCTTTATTTGACTTTGTCAAAATAGAAGATGGTGTGGGCACTAATGTCAATGCCCGCAAGGGTAGCCAGCGGTCGCAGCGCCCGAAAAACGGAAATGGTCAGCAAACTGCTAACGGTGGCGGCGACAGGTGTTAAGAATGGAAAAGGGGGCGGTGGTAAGCAGCAGCAGTTCCTCTCCCAGAAGCAGTAGTGGCAGGCGCAGCTGGACTATATCATTAAAAAGTCTCGTCAAGACCGGAAAAAGAACATGAACGACGACCGCAGTGGTGGTAGGCGTTCGACGTCTCGGTCGAGGTCGCCTCTAGAGCGTACTCCGGAGAAGTATCATAGCAAAGATAAGGATGGGCGTTATTCTAAGCCCTGGAAGAGACGTGGTTGCCATTCGGAATTAGATGATGCTGAATCGGATCGAGGGTTCGGGTAGACACCAGAAGCGTGAGAGATATCACTCGCGCTCGCATAGTCGTGAGCGTGGGCGTGATAAGAAGCGAGGGAGTCGTGGGGGCAATCGTGCATATTTCGAATCTTCAGAGTCTGAAGAAGAGCTTTATTGCACGGTCTGCCATGATACTAACCACACGGCGGAAGACTGCCCCAGATATGGAGGGTTCAGCAGGGGCGGCATTGAAGAAGAAGCCGCGTCGCAAGTGAAATGGGGCGGGGGTCCTGTGGTTGTTGGCGCTGTGCACACGTGGCGTATGCAAATTCTGGTTGTACATTCAACCTCGTTACGAATCGTAGGCTTGATAAGCTCGGTGTGGCGGCCAGAGACAGGTATGTAGGGCCAACATTAGAAGGTATTGACGGCATGGGAACGTTATCTTCCAAGTATTCGGTGCCGTGGGATGAATTAGAGGCGTATATGATCATCCTTGGAGGGTCGTATGCGCTAGTAGAAGGCCACCCTTTCTATGTTGTAGAGGACATACCAATAGGTTGTGACATACTCATTAGGTATGACCAGATGCGTCATTCGCGCTGGGCACTCGTGTGGCGAGAGGATAAGTTAGTTTTAGTACCCCAGTCCGCCATTAAGTGGTCGTGGCTCAAGGACACAAACGTTCCCTTGAGTTAACAGGTCAAGCTTTTGCTTGGTTTCCGCCAGCCTAAGCTGCGGACTAGGGGCAAGAAACCAATGAAGAAACGGCAAAAGCCGCGTCGACTGTTAGAGCGTGTAGCAGGTGGGACCAACGGGCGTCGTGCTTAGAGTATTAACGACGATAACTCCACTGAGGGTTCCCAACCGCAGCCCAGTGCCAATTCAGCATCCGAAATATATTCTGCCGATAGTGGGTGCCCTGACATCATGTCAGACTCCGGCATCTCAAGTGATGAGAACATAGCGTGGCCCACTATGAGTCATCGGCCGCCAAAGCCAGCGGTTTTGATGCGTCCAACTTCGGCAGCTCGGACCAGGGCGAGCGATG